TAAATAGCATAAAACAAATAAGTATACATTATTCATTTATAAGAAGAGCAGACCACTGCTTCGAAGCATTGGAGCTTTTTTCATGAAGGGCCGTGGCCTCACTAGGCTCCATACGAGCATATAGGCGACTTCATAACGTCGTGAAATTTGGCGTTTTGCACTGATTAACATGTTCCCTTTGATTATGAGGAACTTTATGTTTAATTTGAAATAATTAAATGCTCTATTGATAATATCGATAAAATATTCCTAAATCTAAATCCATGCTGAACCCTCAATCTAAATCCATTTACCCAAAGGTTTCATCCTAGACCGTCGTCATGTATTCGTAAAGAGCGAGTAACTAGCAGACGTATCATAATCATTTTCATCATTATCATCTCGGTAAAGAGCGACTGTCCTGAAATTTATCTGTAATTTTCTGTTTCTTTCAATGTTTATTCACCCTACTCAAAACCCTTCCTTTTTTTCATACTGCCGTCGATGTAGATGTCTTTCTAGACGTTGTCATCTGCTTCTTGGAAGACGTGTAATTTCTCTCTGGTTCAGCGATGGTCGATGTCCAATCGACTGCCATTTCAACTTCTCTTGTGGAATGATTTTACGCTTGTTCTTGCTCTTATCCATACGCTCGTATTCAAATTTCGCCTTGTTATTACCATCATTTACTCTTTCAGTTTGCGTTGCGTATTTAACTGTTTTAGTTTTCATGTTTACGGTGCTTGTTCCAATCCCCAGCATAAGCACTGAAATTGATGGTGTCACTGGTCGACGACATTCACTTTCAAACAAAAACGTAGTTTTCCACACAATAACATCTTCCGCCTTCGAGGGTGCTCAACGCCATTTTTACTCTTCTGTCATTTCGTGCATTTGTTTCTCACGGAGTTAGCACCTCTTTAAATCCTGATTCGCTAAAGTCAACAGCTTGAGAATTCACCTAATTCTTGAGTCTTATTCATGCCTTCTTTTCATTCATTTTTAAGTTTACCTTGGGACAGGCACGGTTCAGCTCGTGGATTTGTTTTGTGTGGTTTTTGGAGGAAACACCAGCATACAACATTTTAGTCATACAGGTTCAGCTGATTTTCAATGGATGTTTCACTCTCCCTCATTACTGTTTCAAAACTGAGACAAACTGATAGGTTACACAGTAGAATAGAGAATTTTTTATCGACCGCAGCTCTTGTATCCTAAAAATACCTCTTTAGATGGGTCAATAAACTTCGATAAAGTGTAATCATTCCTTCATTTATACCGATGCCGTGTCGCGATTGACTTGAAGTGATATGCTTTTGGTCCCATGATTGCTTATCGTTTCTAGTTTCTTACTTTGATTACCAAAGAAGTTATAACAACTAACAATATATGTTAATGCATAAAACCTATGTATATTAAAATTAGTCTGCATGAGAATTTTTATTTTTCGCTTTATTATCCTCAATGCAGAAGGCCGGTATCAATGAAACTTAGGCAAACTGCGTATGAATGTGATTGGTTCACTGTAGACAAAATGATCGTAATTTAAGTGCATTTTGCACAGAGTACTGTAACTGTCTAACCTTGCTGCCTACCTGTTAGCTCTGCAGAAAATTTCAAGCTACACATTGATCAAGAATTGTGAATTTAATGTTAATGCTGAGCTAAAGGAACAAATGTCTTACCATAATTTGCGTGTAATAAACGCATAGTGTATGCAAAGAGGATAGTAAAACAAAATTGTTCCACACTAGTTAGTTGTTTTGTATCTTTTCATTGTAGTAATATTTTTTGTAACATTACATTTAGGAGGCCATCTCGTCTAGCAGTCTTGATGTGATTGTCAAACGGTACGAAAAAGTTTTACAGTCGACGTCTCCAAGCAAAAGACCATCCTTCAGAGGGCTACGGAAGACCGCCCGCTCCGTCAGTGCGCTTGCAACGGAAAGCCTGACCGACCTCTACGGTTCGATGGAACTACCAGCATCGTCAGCACCATCTCTTTTAGCCAAGCTGGAAAGAGGTACGCATAAACGCTTGAGAAAAATAATCGTTTAGCGTAGCACTAACAATGAAATCTGAAGATCCACAGATTTCGTAGTTCATGTTATGGATTTATGTCTATGAATCGTTATTAAAATACTATTAAATTGAATAATTATTATGTTATTAGAATCGAAATTTTCTTTCAAGAAAAGACGAGTTTTGGAAATTCAGGGACAAACTATTGTGAAATATATTTTGGATTCTCCTAGTTGTATATAAAGTGTGCCTATTGAAATATTCTTATACTGTATAGTATTATGGCGTTTCTTGTACTGAAGTGATATGCACAGCGCTTGTTTCAACACAAAACAGTTTTACCTCCCCTTGCGACTATAAACTTGACGCTTCTCTTTCGCATATGACTGACTCAAAGAGAGAATTTCAAGTTTGTCATTGTTGACAAGAGATTTTTCATTTAATAGAATATACTTTTTTTGCTATGTGTTAAGAGGTGAGCGACGGTTGCGTTGATTTTACGGTCTTTTCATTTCTCTTAGGCATATTCTTGACTTTTCTATATGAGGATTATATGGTGGTGATTTAGGTTCACGGTTCACTAAGAATTATTCTTTTACGCCATTCGTTTCCGAAATTAGTCTTCATAATCTAGGCGACAGAGTTGTTAGAATCGCAAAGAATCATTTGTTGGCAAAAATTCCTGAAACTGCTGTTGCAGTGATTTAAAATAGGCGGCTGGCTTGGAAGGTGAATGAACCGATTGATGGATGGATCAGTGAATCTGTCAGTTATCTGTTTTTCCGTTTTTGCACCATTTCGTCTAACTGGACCAGCAGCTGGTCTTTGGCCACTTTTACCAACGATTTAGCGTTTCGTCGTTCAGATTTCATTCTATTTAGAAACGGATTTAACTTTCACTTGTTTCTGAGTATCTTCATGGTCATTGATCTTCTTGATTGCCATTTTCAGTCAGTTTTGTCATAAACTCAGGGATGCAATCATATTTGCGTTATGCTGTCATAGATTCTTATTTCTATAAGCCTGACAAATAGACTTTGAATGATCAGGTATACCGATATTTATCTTTAATCTGACCCTTTGATGAGCAGTATGAAAATGGCTCTGGGCGACTTCATCTGGCAACGTTAACTTATCTTTAGCTTTGCCATTATGTTCTACGATATCCTTGCAGATGTTTTTATCGAAATTGTCTATTAAGGATGAGAAGTCTTTGCCAGTTCTGCATCAGATCCGAGGATATGACCGCTTTCAAAATAGCCATGTTCGGTTGTTTCGTAATTGCCCACTTTGTGTACATTTGAAAGGACTTCTGCAAATTCACAAACGCACTGCAGTACGCCACGTTGTCGGGTTAGCTGTTAAGCGCCAGATGGCAAGTTTCTTTGCCAAGAACCGGTCTCATTATATGTGAAACAGCCGGCGCCTTTCGTCTTCCTGTCATGTCATGAGATCGGTTGGCTGTTTAGCTTAAATCTCTTTTAAAACCGGAATTGATTGTTTAAGTTCTAGTTCGCTCCCCGCTGTATCAGGTGCTAAGTCTGAGGAGCGATTTGCTCTGTCAAACTGTCTGCGTTAGTTGAAGTAGTTGCGCAGATCTTGAACGTCGTTCTATTTGACCATGCATGCCTGAAGTGTCAAGGTATCGAACGCAAGAATGAGCAAACTTATCGTTGTTGAAATTAGAGCGGTACCCAGATGGTACTTGGGTCTGTACCTTCTGTTTTTTAGTTTGGATATCGTTCTTCATTAACTTTCCTGATTGTGCCATTTTGGCCCTCTTCTTTTCGCAAAATTGACGCCGCGTATTGATCTCCATTTCAGTGTTATTAGCCAGAAGTGTCTTCTCTTTTTAAAGGCAGAATCTACAGCCAAATAGCAAGCGTAGCGTGAAGTCTCCTGTTTCCTTCCCGCAGGGTCATACTTGTTTATCTACCTCAGAAGGACAAAAGTTTAATTGTCCTTGCCCTGACCGAAGCTTGAATTAGGAATCTATCAGTTCTGAGTTTGATGTTTTGCTGGCTGAGTAATCCTGGTCTGAAGCAGCGTTTGGTAAATTTTTTGCTCAAGAGAATTCTTGAATAAGAGAAGAATTCTCATTGAGCGAAATCGAACCCCGCACCTCTCTAGTTGAATCTGACCTCTTAGACCATATGCTAGCACGCCAGTGCATTGCAATTAAAGCTTTCATGTTATTGGGCAAATCTGATGGTAGATACAGTAGACTATGATATTTTCTACCTGGATTGAATACATGACTTTTGTCCCTACCGCAGCAAATGGATAATAGAAAGAGCTATTAAGAGTGTTTACCATGAATACCCTATTGATGACCGTTTAATGTATGGAAAGACGACGTTGTTATAGGAAGGAAGTCGAAGCACAGGAAAAAGAGCAAGGACAGTGTGCTTGTTAATGGAACGGTAACAAGTGGTTCCGTTTTCGGCCGAAACCTGGAGCACTGTTTGACGACTAGTGAAACCGATGTAAGTGTGTTTCGAAGTTTAGACATGCTTCTTTAGATGCTATTTGAATCGTAATTATCACATGTTTTTTGATATGAGTTATTGCACACGTTTTCTTATTTACTCAGATATTTACTTTATTTGTTTACCTTCATATTTCTCATTAACCTACCAACCAACCTCCTTACTTTATTTAGCTTTTCGATTATCTTTGTAATGCGATCGCGTAGTTTGGTAGCTGTCCACTCTTCGCAACGAGAACTTTGAATTGCAGTTATAACGAAAGAGAATAGAAAGTTTGTAACCGTTAGATCTCAAACTTTTCTATACTTTCATGATGGAGCCGTTTCTGGGCCCTTCGTTTCATGAAGTTGATGGTGGGGCGCTGATCTCTACTTCCATGCCATGAATAATGAATGCTTTATTTTAAAAGTAGAAACAGAGCAGTAATCGTTTATCAATTTCGGACTGAAGAAACTCGATTTACCTGACAGGTATTCGAACCAGGCACTTCTCGGTTTGAGTCAGATCCTCTGTCGACTGTACAACCCCGATCTGAAGCAGCGTGCAGTAAATTCCTTGCTCAAGGGAATTTATTATTGAGACAAATAATGCTCTTCCTCCAAGGTCAAACCTGACATCTCCGGAGTTCGAATCTGACCTCTTAGACTTGTTCCACCACGTCACACATGATGAAGAAACGAGGTGAAACCAGAGGAACGCTTCGGTTTCAGCATCAAGTACATTTTACATACATGAGTGTCAGAGAAAAGACATGGTTAAAGGAGATGAATCATAATTGCAGTATGCTCCTTTGACATGGATTATTCGACATGTTTGCTTACAGTATGTTCCGTTCATCGTTCGTCTCTGCGTAGCGGTTGTTGAATCGTTCGGTATTAACATGATCGGCGTTTATCGGATACCGGGAAACACTGCTGCTGTGCACAGCCTTTCTGCGAAAGCTAACGAAGGCTTCGAAACTGTGAGCGACTGCATAAAATCAGTGCTCATTGTCTGTTTAACGCCGTGTATGCTTATTTAGATCGACTTTACCGACATCCGTTGGCGCGACGTGAACGTCGTCAGTAGCTTGTTAAAGGCATTTTTCAGAAATTTGCCTGAACCTCTTTTAACTAACGAACTCTACTTTCACTTCATCGAAGCAAGTCGGTTGGAAAACGCGGACGAAAAGCTTTCGAAATTAACACAGCTGGTACGTAGTTTCTTTAATGTCGTGGTAAATTCGTCAGGCAATTAAGAACATTATCCGTTATTCGACTTGTCTTTTTTGGGGTGTGCCATAAACGCAAGACGACACTCCTCTAACATCCTATTTTCCGCTATCTGCCTCTATCGGTGATCAAGTAATTCTGTTATCGGATCATTGCAGCGTATTCACGGACGATCGAATCGAGTTAGTTGTTCAGCGAAATTCTTGACCAGTTAGAATCAGGGGAATCCAGTTCGGAATTTTTGATGTCCACTGATTGTCTCTCGAATGAGCCACGTGGTCGGCCCATCTTCTCTTGGCG